AGGATATTGGATGGCAGAAGGCTTCGGACGTCGGGCATCGAGCCAAGAGCAGAATTGTGCCAAGGATATCGGCGTTGTGGAGGTCAACCGCCGATTGGGCAACAAGCCGCAAGAGAGGACGATGCGCCGAAGAATCGGACGAAGCGCCAACCAATGATGTGCCGGGCAACAGAATGTCAATTCGCTTTATAATAATTGTCTAGATCGGAGTAGAGTTTTTGCTTGTGTGTGCAGGATTAACTACGATAACGACGAAGACATAAAGCAAAACAAAGTGTCGGAGTCAAGCACGAAGGATTCATTGCGAGTTCGAGAGTTCGACGGAAGTCCGAAGGTTCGTCGGGAATGCTGCCGGAACTAGCCAAAAATGAGTAGGGAGCTTGCCAAAGGGTTTTTCAGAAAGCTCGCCGGAAGGTTCATTGGAAGTTCGCGGAGCTCACCGAGAAAGATCGGAGCTTGCCGAAGAAGCTCATCGGAACTCGCCAAGATCAAATCGTGAAATCTAGGAGCTTGCTGGGAGTCCGCAGAATGGTTTCCGAGAGTTTATCGGAAGACCGCCGGAAGTTCGCCGGAAGCTCACTGGAAGAAGTCTTGACTTACAGACTTTGTAATAGCTTAGAAAATGCCTTTAAATTCGTAGTTAGTACGTTAATTAGGGTTAGGATTAGGTGTTAATCCTATAACCCAAGTAGGGGCCAATTGGGCCCGAGTTCGGACTGGTTTGGGCCAAGTTTGGAGCCCAACCATTAAGCTGAATTGGCCTAGGCGGTGGCACCGCCTGGGCTGGGCGGTGGCACCGCCCAGCACCCGAGAGCTGGGCGGTGACACCACCTGGGCTGGGCGGTTGCACCTCCCAGCACCCGAGCGCTGGGCGGTGGCACCGCCAGCATCGGGAACATAAGAGAATTCAAATTTTTGGAGCCCAAATTTGAATCCTCTTGAGGCCTATAAATACCCCTCAAGTCTCAGCTGAGAATATAACTTTTTGAGCAGCAATTGTTTGAGAGAAAGGTCTTAGAAAAGTCTTTGCTAGTCTTGTTTTCAATTTGCTAGTGTTCACCTCCTTCTTTCTTGCTGAAAATCTGCAAGAGAGTGAACCGCTTGTAAAAAGTTGTAAGAGGGGTATTTGCCCTTCCATTTCAAGAGATTTGCTAGTGGAAGGTGGGAGCCTCATCGAAGAGGGGCCTCGCAAGTGGATGTAGGTCATTTGACCGAACCACTGTAAAATCGGTGTGATCTCTGGTTTGCATTTACTTATTGTCATTTACATTACTGCAAACCATTTGCACTTTAATGCTCTACTTCTTTGTCTCCGTCTTACTTATCTCTTCAAGTTAAAACGCAATCGAAACGGTTTCAAATGAAAACGTTACTTTTATCGTACGAAGTTTCCGAAAGTGTTTAAATCGTCAAAAGTTTATCATACTTTACCGCTGCACTAATTCACCCCCCCCCCTTTTAGTGCCGCTCCGATCCTAACAAAGTTGACGATGAACTTGTTGGAGCAGGATCTATCATTTGATTCTGCGGAGTGTCTAGTTCTGCTGAAATCTAAATTTGTTTTCTATCTTTATTGGTCTCCCAATTCTAACTTACTCTTTTATTAAACATAACATTTCTGTTAATAATAACTTTACCACTAACAGAATTATATAATCGATATACTTTGGATGATAAGGAATAATCAATTATGATATATTTTTTATATTTTTTATCAAGCTTGTGATGATTTTGTAAATTCACCGAATAGTTTCATACTATACCAAGCCTCAAAGCATAAGCAATTAACCATGTTTTAAGCATGAATAAGAGTTATTTTCTGACCTTTGGGCACATAAAGTTTACACTTACCATAACTGTTTGATATAGGCAAAAAGTAAATGGTGAATTTGGTAGGCCAGGAAGATGAGACTTTCCAGAATAAAATATCTAACAGTAATTTATAATATGGCTTGTGGTTAGCATCAAATATATACCGTAGAAGTAAATTCTAGTAACCAAGTAGAATTGTGCAGTTTATATGATCTCCAAAAGTATTTTTATCTCATACAAGTACATTTATCAATACAGAAAGCAACCATACATTTCTTATTTACTAGGTCCTAATAAAATCCTCTGTTTTCTGGTAGTCATGGATTCCAAGTTCCTTCTCCAAAGAGAAAGGCAAATAAGGAAAGAAAGATGAAAGGAGAGCATCCACGCAATACAACACTATAGTTACTTGTTTTGATCTACTCCTACCTTTTTAGGGTAAGGTATTCAAGAACACCTTTTCTTGATCTTTTCTATATACTCAGTCTAAGTTCTTTAAATAGACAGAAACCAACTTAGTGGATAATAAACAACAAATTGAAAGATGATATCTCAGGGCAGTAAAAGGTCCAACAAATGAAGGCCAAGTAAAACTTCGACGTTTGAGTATTCCATTTCCATTTAAACCTGTGTTTCTTTTGTACAATTTTACATCACACATACAACAAGCAAAATTGGAACTCATTAGCTTATCCTTTGAAATGCGGATGCCAATGAGGTGTATGAGGTGCAGAGTGATTGATGAGCATCTAGGGGCTGAGAATGTTAAGAAGTGATACCCGGTTTTGGATTAGTCTCCGAAACAAGCATCCTAAACCATTCTCAACATCTCCAAAACTGATCTCAATTGTCTTTAGCTGATTCTGCACCATCATTATCTTCTCAGCATCTGCATCTTTAAGATCTGCACGCAGTGAGACATCTACATCCCACATTTCACATAAATCCTCCTTGCATGCCACTCTCATGGTCTTTGACGCAAAAGACCACCTGCTAGTTTTTGCCTTTGGCAAGAACATCAAAGACAATATTGAGCAAAGAAGAGATATAGTAATCTCTCTTGCCTCATTCAACACATTTAAGACCACCGAGAGATTCGGGTCTTGCGAGATCAGAGAGGCTGGTTGACATCTGCCATCCATTTGCTTCAAATCTTTATAGCTTTTCTTAATGATCTTCTGTATCTCCTTCCTCGAGCGAACGTAATCCTGCACCCTTTGTCCAGTAGAGTTGTCACCTCTTCTTCCAAGTGCAAACCGAAGATCGTGAACATACTCTTTCAATGTGGTGGTTGCATCCTTCATGGTGCCACAGAGGTCCAGTAACCTCATTAATCCCTCCACATCCTCCTCCAACCATTTCCTCTGGTCAGAGTAGAATAGGCCTTGTTGGATGCTTGGAAGGCGAAGAAGATCCTCAATGCCATCATGCATATTAGCAAGCTGCCTCAATCCATTGGAAATCATCTCCCTTGTCATGGAGGGAACTGTCGAAACTGATGATTCTACAAAAGTATTGAGTTTTTGCAGCTCTTCTACGATCCATAGCGTTGTTGGTTGAACTTGGGATGGCAGACTGACTGAACGAACATGAAAGGAAGTCTCTGCTAGTAGAACTGGCCATTGTTGCCTTCTCTTCGGCTATGCTCTTCTCAAATTCAATGGATTGGACGAGGATGCTGATAGAATTGTTCTGGTCCTGCTGCTCTACCTCCTTATATATGGATCACAACACATACAAGGAGACAACTGGATTCAAGGTTAACCAGGTCATCGATGTGATGACAACTTAAGTGAGTGGAAGGAAGACATGTAGCAGTTCGGCAGACAGGTCGCCCTTCTTAGTTCCACATGACTGGTTTGGAGTCTGATACAAATCTTCATCCAAGTGTATGCTATATCGGTAGGTATTATATACGTTAGTTCGATGCTTGTCTCTATGTTGTCTGCTTAATTATTAATTAATCTGCTGGTAGATCCAAAGCTAGCCTTCTACAAAGTTGTTGTTTAAGCACCCAAGGCATGAAAAAGAGAACACATACTTCCCATCTTTCTCATGGATTACGTAGACTTATGGTGCTGTCTATTATTGCTGTTTTCTTAAAGTTCAAGATGATAGATTGACATGCTCATAAAAAAAAGGCAAAAAAAAAAGAAATAGAAAAAGAAACAAAATTGTAGATGTTTGATTGGATTGGCATTTGAAATATCAGGTATTGCTGTACCTGAATAGGACATGCAACTCTAATAGCTACTTGTTTATTTACAATGAGAATGGATTATCACTATTGAATATTTTCTTCAATAAACTCAGGTTATGCATTGATCTTCAACATAAAATGTTATTAACTAGTACTTTCTGATCATTGAACATTTTTTATGCAGGACTTCATATTTCAAGGCTTAGCTGTTGACCTACTGCTGATAGATCCAATTTTCTTTTATCTATGGCTGAAATTTTATGATTTTCTTTTTATTTTTATCTATTTAAGTTGAAATTATATTTTTTTTTAATCAAAATTTTTATGAAACCTTGAAAACATCTAATGAAGCCTAAATTGTTATTGTTTCTATTTTTGGGCTTATAAAAGTCCTATTTTTAGTTAATTTAGTCCTTAAAAATTATATTTTTTTATTTTTGATTAATTTAAAGTTAATGTAGAAATAATGAGTCAAAAATTACTTGAATATTATCAGAGATAACTTTATGAAGTTTTAGAAAGAAAAACTAAATGCTGAGTTATTTTTTAAAAAGATTACATTATTTTTTGATTTTTTAAAACAATATAACTCTTCAAAACAAACAATGTAATCGAAATTTTTTATCTAAAAATATTAAAATTTTTATTAACCTTGGAAATGCATAGGGGATTCCTGAATGATATATATTTTTTATACTTGGACCATTAAGGGATCTATTTTCAGTTAATTTAACCTTAAAAGCTTTTTTTTATTTTTGGAAAGTTCAAGTTGAAATTATATTTTTCTATCAAGTTATTCATGAATATTGAAAATATCTTATCAAGCCCTAAATGATCACTTTTTCTATTTTTGTGCCACTGAAAGTATTGTTTTCAGTTAATTTAGCCCTTAAAAAATTAATTTTTTTTATTTTATATTTGGATAATTTAAACTGAATATAAAATTAATTCAGGTCAAAAAATACTTTAACATTATCATACATGATTTTGTGCAGTTTTACAAAAAAAAAAAAAAAAAAGAGAGATCGGACCCTTATTTAAAATAATTTGAATGGGGTTATAATTTTTTTTGGTTCTATTAAAAAATAGTGTAACATTATTTAGAAGAGTGTAATTGAAAATTTTAATCTAAAAATTATAGTTTTTCTATGATACCTTGGAAATGTCTAGGGAAGCTTTAAGTCATCACTTTTTCTATATTTGGATCATTAAATGACCAATTTTCAGTTACTTTAATATTAAAAGCTAAAATTTCTATTTTCTGATTTTTGGCTAATTTAAGCTGAAATTATATCTTATTTATCAAAATTTTTATAGAACCTTGAAAATATCTGATGAAAACCTAAATGATTACTTTTTCTTCATCAAAAGTCTTCTTTTCAGTTAATTTAGCCTTTAAAAATACTAAATTTTATATTTTTAATTTTGACCCATTTAAAGCGAATCTAAAACAAATTTGGGTCAGAAATAGTTTAATATTATAAAAAATTATTTTACAAAGTTTTAAAATAAATTTGAACTTTATGTTACACTATTTTTTAATGGGGTTACATTGTTTTCTAGTATTATTAAAAAATAGTATAACCCTATTAAAAAACAATTTAACTTAATTTTTCATCCAAAAATATCAAAATTTTTTTGAACCCTTGAAAATTCATAGACAAACCCTAAAAAATCACTTTTATATTTTTGGGCGAATATATTTTTAATTTTGACCAATTTATATTGAAATTGTATTGTTTTATGCTCAAATTTTCATGATATCATGTAAATATCTGATGAAGCCCTAAATAATTAATTTCCAATTATCTATGATTTAAAAGTCTTATTTTCAGTTAATTTATCCCTTAAAAAGTTGAATTTCTTATTTTTAATTTTTACCTAATTTTAAGTGAATTTAGAACCAATTTGCACCAAAAATCACTTGAATATTATCCGTAATGATTTTGTGACGTTTTAAAGAAAATTTTAGATCTTGAGTTATATTACTGTTGAATGTGGTTATATAATTTTTGGGATTGTATTCATAAATAGTGTAACTCTAATTAAAAAATAGCTACATTGATCTCTTATTTTCTTAAAAAAAAATCAACTTTTTAAAAAATCCTAGGACATGACTTCTAAGGTCCTAAATGTTTCCTTTCATATATAAGCATTTGAAATGAATATTTTTTTACTGATTTGAATCCTTAAATGATATAAATTCAAATATTGGTCATTTAGGCTTTTGAAAATTTAATGTTTTATTATTATTTATTTAAAATATGTAAATAACAATATTGTAGATGCAGGAGTTCATATTTCAAGGCTTGGTCCCCAAGATGTCTGCTAAACTGTTGACTTGCTGCTGGTAGATCCAATATTCTTATATGTGGTTATTCCTATATGTTTTCTTAATCACTTAACATGTCAACATGTACCAGGAGAATCCACAACCTCGGCATCTCTGTTGTCTGATCTGAAGCTATCCGACAACGAATCCAGCAGACGAACAAACGCGGCCGGAAACTAGGAATCCACACGCAGATCGCATCCAGATTTGTCTTCTTGTTGGTGAGAGATCCCCATCATTGCAGCAGGCTATAGAACACCAAAAGCTCTCTTGTTCCCCACTGAATTGGATACATGAATGAACAAAGATTACAACTGGTTTAGCTGAGTGTTTTAGATCTTCTAAAACAAGGACAGGATCCATCACTTGCAGTCTTTTGCTGCGACCCCTCGAGCAATGTCAGTGATCTGCACGCCCAAGTCGTAGACCGAACCGGTTCTCCAGTCGACCGGCAGAGCCTCACTCTGAGCATAAACCCACTTCCCGCCGTAGCCGCCTGTCACCACCATCCTGAGCTGTAGCGGTCCGGGAGGCGCCCGGCTCGTGCTCCAGACCGGGCCGAAGACCCGGCTCATGAATCTCCAATCGGACGAACCCGCCTGTTAACCCAAGCATTCGCGTCAGTACTGTAAGATATGGTGGCATTCTGCTCCAACTTCAACAGGGAGCGAGAGAGAGAGAGAGAGAGAGAGAGAGAGAGA